GACCTCTAAAGGTCCCTTCCAACCCAAAGCATTCTGTGGTTTTAGAGCAGAAGTTGCTTTTTAGCCTGAATTGTACTTTACCTTTTTTTTTTCCTCCAAAGTCTGCTGATTACTGTCGGTATTTTTAGAAATGTTAGGTACTTGAAAAATGTAGGTTAGCTTTTATCATGTTTCTAATTTATATTCCATTCTTCCACTTAATCAGAGGCCAACTGATTACAAAGATTAAAGATTACTGATTACAAAGATTAGCTGCAGTGTTATGTACATGCCGCCAGTGTGTCAAAGAGTGTGACAGGAGAAAAAAATATAAATGATAAGTTACCTCTGGATTGCAGAAGGTAGAGCGGCAAAACGGATCTTGGATTGCCATCGAAGTAATTGCCATGCTAAGTGTGGCAGCTCAGCTTCGCTGTCTGGCTGTGCTGTTCGTAGAGCAGGAGGCTTCTGGACAGCTCTAGTAAGAGAATGGGACAGAAGAAACAGCCGCTTGTCAGGTGGAGCTTGGTGCACTTGGGAAGGAGGGAGGTTAATAGTAGTATTGAATAGGAAGTCCCTTCTGTGGGGTTTTTTGTTTGGTTGGTTTTTGGGGGGAGGGTTTTGGGGTTTTTTGTTTTTTTTTTTTTAATTAGTAGATTGGAGTTGGTTCTGTTTACTCTGGTGTTACAGCGTGCATTCTCAGAGGGCCGAGTTTAACCCAGTAAAGGAACAGCCTGTGTCTGTGTTGTGTATGGCACGGTACTTCTTGACATGGTATGTTCTTGGTATGTTTTCTGTTCTAGCTATTTCCAGCTGTGTTGAGACTGTCAAGGAGTGTGGAGGTGGTGTGGTCAGACATTTAACTTCACTGAAATCCTAACCTGAGGAGAAAGGAGGAAAGATTACGTTGGGGTTGTTAACTGTAACTTACGTTAGAGAAGTTAAAGGGGAGCGACTCTAGTTTTGGTCATGCAGGCTGGCAGTGACAGTTGGCCAGCTGTAAAACATCACTGGCCCTTAAATTTAGACGTGTGTGGTGATTTCTTTTTTTTTTTTTAAATTTCTAATACACAATGTATTTCACCCAATATGAGAGGGCACTGTTTTAAACCATAATGTAAGATGAATTCCACAAGAGAAAGTTGGAGGCCACTTTCGGATTAATGTTGATTTAATTCATTGTAGGCAAGTGGAGGTTCCTAATAATTTAATGCATATGCAAAGGAATTCAGAAGCATGATATCTGAAAGCAGAGAAAAATTTATGCAGAGTGACCTGTGAAGAAGAATATTCACAAAACAATCTAATACACAAAAATACATTTCTTAAAAAAAAACCAAAACAAAAAAAAAAGTGGAGATGGGGAGAAGATGAGGTGTTCAAATGCCACAGTGACTTTTCAAATATATGACTGAAAAAAAAAAAAAGCTGTTTTATGAGCAAAACTGTGTTCTGCCTGAGGAGAAGTGAAGGCAGGAACTAGAAATTGGAAAATCCAGAAAAGTAGGTGCCAGATGTTTTGTAAATTAAAATTTAGAAAGTAAATAGACGAAGATAACCAGGAGATAACTGTGACTGGCAGAGGTACGAACAAAATCCTTTTTTGTGCCCTTGGATCAGAAGAAACCTCAGTAATGTTAGAGAGGTAAAATAGGTAGGAATGATCAGGGGGGTCAGAACTGCTGCCAGGATGTTATGAGTCTGTGTTAGGAAGGAAAGGAAGGCTGATACTGCAACTTGAGAAAGTCATGGGATACTGTCCCAATCTATTTGTAACTTGGAACAGTATTATAAATGTAGTCCTATACACTGTATTTTTGAATAAATGTTGTGTTACGTACTGTTTATTTTGAATAAATGTTTAGAAGTCAGTAGGTTTGGATAACTTGCACTTAAATGAGTGAGACCTAAATGAAATACTAAAGAGAACTCAGGCCACTTGCTTTAATTTTAAACAAATCCAAAGAATGTAATTGATACAGCAGAGGGTTGGAAATGTGTCAGGAGCCACAAGAGAGCAAGGAAGGTGCGGCTTTAGGCTCAGTAAACTTAGGAATTCTGTTGGGGGCAGAACACCAAACAAACAACAAGACAGGCTTGTTATCTTGCTATTCATGAATTACAGGAGCACACAATGCTGGCAAGTGTGATTTTTGTGGGGAGTAGTAGTTTATCAAAAACATAAAGAAAAAACATTAATCAAGATTCTTTCCTTAGTTGATGTGTTAAGTTTTGCAGCTTGATCAATGTAATCTATGTGCATATTTTTAAGACATCTTACTTGATCAGACTTTACATTCTGGTTATCGATGCAGTTGCATATCATGGAAGCATGTCTGACTAATTGGTAGGTAATAGTAGCTGTAAATAGTTGAGGTGAATTTTTTAATGGGAGTATTTCTTTTTATATGAAATTTTCAGGTACTACAACATCTGGTAGGATGGTAGATAATCATGAGCTATTGTCTCTTAGTAAGGCTAAACACAATATGCATCTTGAACCACTGAATACAGGCTATACTTATAGAATGATACTGAAAATAAGTTAAGGCTCATAATGCATGGAATTACAGAAATAAATTCATACCAGTGTGCTTTAAGCAAAAGGGAGTATTACAAACTCTCTCTGCCCCCCCCCCATCATGGAAACCTATACTCAAACCACCCTCTAGTTATTATACAAAGAGTGTTGAGAGGGGCAGATGTGGCAGAGGAGAGATGGAATAAACCTTGCAGTGAGAGACTTGAAACTTAACCTCCTTAGCTTACCAGAAAAAGGGATTAAGGAGTGACTTGATTGTGATAAAGTATTTTCACAGGGAGAAAATCTCAAGTTGCAGCAAGCACTTTGACTTTGCAGAGAAAGAGCAAATGGTTTGAATTTATTTCCAGTTTCTAGATCTGCCTTTTAATGTGGGGGATATTTCATAGTGGGAGTGTGATTAACCATTGGGGTCAAGCACCAGGCAGGGTAGCTGATTTCCTTGTTCCCTGGTGTCTTTAGTTATGCTTGTAGGAGATTCAACATGCTGGCTAAAGTTCTGTGCTGAGCCTGCTGCACCGGGTCAGACGGATCATCACGTAGCTTTACAGCCAGTGAGGATCTTTGAGATTCAGTAGTAGCTGTGTAATGAGAGGTTGAGGGTAGATCAGATACCTGTCGTGACCAAGACTTCCCTCTTGGATGTTTGTATGTTAATTTTTTGAACTCTCACAGTGGAAGTTTTGAATGTTTGCTTAAACAAAAAATAACTGACTGAAGTGACAGGTGAAAAAGCACCTGTATACTGTGGGTCCTGGACCAGGTCATATTTTGGGTTGGTGCTCTGTAGCTTTGGGCCATGCTTATCAATTGATTGTTGTCATTGGAAATATGTTCATCCCACTTATACCTCTCTTAAGCTCAAAGCTTCCAGGAACTTGATTCCTTCAGCAGCAATTGTGGATCAATTTTGAAGTCATAAGTGGGCATAGCTTTGTTTTAAGTAGGACTGATGATTTATCTATGGGTCCATTTGCTATGAATGAGAACAGTAGGTGCATTTTATGCACACAGGCAAAAAGCCACGATCTTCCCAATTGCTTCTGTATTTGGCTATTGCATTGGTGCTTTCCTTGTAATTAACTGATGGTTTGACTTTTTTGTCCAAACCCGTTTGGCTCCTCTGACACTGTATTGCAGTTTTCTGTATGCATGTTGGAAGCCCAAATTAAAAATTACTCAAAAATGTCTTGTATGTGTAGGTTATTGTTATCTATTGAAGTAGCAAATAGTTTTATCTGTGGTTCTGTTTATTTCAGAACTCTATCTTAGCACTGAAAGAAAGCTAGATCTTTCTAAACCTATTGTGTCAAAGAAATCCATCAAAACCTAGAAACCTCATGGTCTCGGGCAGAAAGAATTTAAAATAGCAGGAGTTCAGTTCTACGGGGATAGAGGTTTTTGCTGAAAATGAAATAATCTTCTCTTCTGAGTTCTAGCACTGAAGTTGTTTCCAAAGCAATGCTTGGACATGGGCCAGGCATCACAAAGGGAGCTGCTCCTATTTTACTAACCAAGAGAATTTGGTGTCTTCCCTCTTTCAGCTTGTTTTTGGTTTGTCCAGACATCAGTAAAATTCGGGCTAGAAATGAGACCTTCAGTGGCAGCTTTCTGTTTAAAAATAGATAAAGATAAATCTGATTGTCCTTCCTCTTTGCCATCCAGGAATAAGATGCAAAGTGTTTTGGCTTTTGCAGTCATGCTGCATGTGGGAGGGGACTTTTTGCAAGTGCAGGTAAAATACTGATGAACTTGTCTTCTCTTTTTCACCAGATTCCATTGTGATTGGATTTTGGGTTGGTCTTGCGGTTTTTGTCATCTTCATGTTTTTTGTCCTGACCCTGCTGACGAAGACAGGAGCACCACATCAAGAGTGAGTCTGAAAACTGGAATAACAAATCCAGCCTGCTAAGTGGCATGTCTGTTCTTTCGCAGCGCCCAAACAATCCAGCGACAGTGCTGATATTGCACTGACTTAGCACCATCTTGTTCTACTCTGTTCTTACGAAAGGGTTGCCGTCTATCATTGTTTCAAATAATCTTTGTTCTGAGCACTTCTAGGAGACCAGTTCTGTAGAATTTTTATTAATGTGTTCCCTATTTAGCAAACAGTAGCCACTCATTAATAAGGGAATAGCTGCATGTATGCATTTTCATGCTAAAATGAAGTTGGTGGGTAGGCTGCCAAACAGATGGCTTCAGATTACTGTTTTGCAAATAAATGGGGTCATTCTAGGTAGACTCACTTTACGATGGAGTGGAACAGAGAAATGTGAATATTGACAGAGTATATACAAATAAAATGCAGTGCAGATGTTAAATTAAGGAAGTTGAAGTCTGGAGGGTTTCCACATGTTTCTGTGTTCAAGTCCAAAAGGTAGATATTGGTAGTATTTACAAAATCTTCCCTTAATCCTGTAGCTCCACTAGTGTCAGTGTCTTAGTTTCTACTGAGAAATTCCAGTATGCTGAAGTACAGATTAGCCCAGATGTGTTTAACACCAGGGTCCCCTGAAAGTCACAAACTAATCTTTTTTTTTTTTTTTTTTTTTCCCCTTGTTCTTTCCAGCTGATAAGGTATGGTCTGCACATACTTGCCTCAACCATTTATCTGCATTTCCACAGCACACAAGCTGTCAGCGTCCCTTCCTCTGAGAAAGTTTGAACCCACATCTCTTTTGAGGCTTGTGTGCCATAAAGTAGAAATAAAAAGCCTCTCTGGAGAGTGAGATTGCTTGCAGGCAGGTAGCAATGATGAGAAGCTGATTGTGAAAGGCAATTGTTAGTGCTTATTGCTTCCTAAAGCAGCCCACCTGTCTGCCTGCTGAAGGCCCTTTACTGTTTAGTCATATATAGACTGGCTCTGAAACTTCATGGAATAGCACATCTCTAGAGGCAGAACCATGTTAGGGAGGGCATACATATATTGTGAGCCTCTTCCATGCTCCTAAATTTTTGCTTCTGTGAGAAGGAAATAGAGGCAGAAGAATTCAGCTTCTCGGAACTGACTGAATTTCATGGCTGGCATTTTTGCTTCCCTTACAGATTGCCATAAAGTAGCCAGACCCTGCTCCCAAAAGTGTTGGTGTGCTGCTGCTTTTCCCTGGAGATCTTGTTTCTTAGTTGAGCATCTGAGTCTGTATCCCCTGTGAATAATACGAGAGGGGAAGAAGTCAAATATACAGCAAAGAGAATTTAATACGGATATTTGTCAAAAGTTTTACACTTGTAAAAATGTACTTTCAGGTAGCAGAGGGCTGCTTGATATCTCCCACTGTGTTTCTGCTTTCTTCATCAATTTTCTTGGAACAGATTGCCTAGAGGGTTTGTGAAACCTCCATCTTTGGTCTACTTCTACATCCAGATAAACTGATTTGAATACCGAGTAGGCCTTGCCTTCATCAGGGCATTAGGCTATAGACCACCAGAGGTTCCTTCCAACCTAAATCTTAATATGATTTCAGTTGCTGAAGAGAGCCCAGTCATTTCCATTCTGTCTTTGTTTTAAACTTCCTTGCAGCTTTGGGAGCTGTGTGCTTGAATACTTGCCCACTTATTATGCATGCTGAGTTGGCACCTTTAACAAATTTGAGCACTATTTTTTTTGAGATTTGGTAACCCCCTGTGTACAGTACTGGAAATAGAACATCCAGGAATACACTAAGGGCAGTGAATACTGTTGTTTCCTCTTATTTTTGATACACATGTATAAAAACTGGAGAACATAAATACCTACCTGTAAAACCAGTGCAAGACTGTGGTTTTAGTTTGCCTGCATCTTCTGTCTTTATACCTGACTGAATTCTTCATGACTCATCGTTTCATTAGTGGGCTGTCTTGCAGCCCTCCTTTAGAAATAGATGTTAATGGGGTTCCTAGGTCTTGGGAGAAAGCCAGCCTGATTGATGGGCATGTCTCTGACTTCAGTAAGTCAATTTGGCTGTTCTTTAAAGTACCATTAACGTGAAAGATTAAGTGTAACTGGGTTCAGATGGATGGATCCAAAGTAGAATACTTTGATTTTTCTAGTAGTACGCTTTTCTTGGCTCGATATAAAGGGGTATGATAGCATGTACTTTTCAAAATTGTACAAGATGTTCAGAATTGGGTACATTCTCAGACCAGAAGGAAGGGGTCAGGATGTGTTCGTCTAACCTATCTGTACAAAATCTTGTCTGATGTAATCTCAAAACTTCATGCAGCTATTGAGGCAGGTTGTACAATTAGTTGCAGTAAAGGTGAAATGACTTTTTTTTAAAGAAATTGGTTGGTTTTGGCTAAGGATTCTGGGGTGAAATCCACTCGAGAAATGCAGATCCAGTGAAACAAAAACTTCTACAGATATATGTGTTTGCTGAAAACTTCTTCAGGAAGGTTTCTCAGGTTCCTGGTAGCACTTCTGGATTGGTACTAAGGATCTGTTCAGATCCCTCAAGTTCCCTTTGGGATGCCAAACCCTGCTATTTTGGAGGATTGGTTACTTACTCCTTTCTGTGGCTTGCCAAGTATCCCAGGTCACTTCAGGGAGTGTTGAGAGAAGGGGTGTTTAAGCTAGAGAGGAATGTCAAGTGTCAGTCCCAAACCAGCATGCAAAATGGTCTGTACCCTGACAGTGCACTCAGGTCCAGTGGGCAGAGTCCAGAGCTTAATACTGAATCCAGCAGACCAGAATCCAGCATCATAAACTGGAAGATTCCCAGAAAAGGCAGCTTGGGTTAGTTCATTGGCAACTGCTTGTTTTGAGTGGTTTTCAGCATGTGTGATGCTCAAGTTTCTGGCATTCACCTTCCTGCTCTCTTGTTGGCAGCTTCTGGGACTCGGAGAGTCCTGTTGGCCCAACTATTGCAAATGGGATTTGATTGTCCAGGTGGCTGTGCTCCATTCCACAGTAAAACTGGGATTGCTTATTTTGTGTGTTCTGAAAAGATATATGCTGAAGTATACTTGCATACTATAATGAGCAAGACTATGCAAGTTTCTAGCCTAGCTTAAAAAAAAAAGAATTCCTCCCCAAAATACAGGAGGATAGTGTTTGTGAATTTCAGAATCTGAAAATATGACTGTGTATTAGATCATGTGTTCCCTGTTCATTAGCACATGATTGTTCTCTATCATATGTCCTCAACATCCTGGGTCATTATAAAGTTTCTTTGCATCTTCTATTCTTCCATTTAGATTCGGTTGCCATTGCCAGTCTTGTGTGCCCCTCTGTACAGTCAGCCTTTGCTGCTTCATAGCTCACTGGATTATAAAGCACTTTCCACACTTATGAGTTAGTTTTACTTCTCTAACAGATGCATTTTAAGCTTTCTTCCGAAGTAATTTCTTCCTAGGCTTATAATGCTTGTCCTTCTTTCTGTGCTTATTTCCCACCTCCACTGTCTGTGCCACAATACTACATAGAACCTGTTGGTGACAGATTTTCAAAACTATATATGCAACTTGAGTGGTGATTTCTGTTGCATTATAAATACATAAATGTCAATCATCAGTTCTGAAGGCTACCACAGTATTATTCCAGTCTGTTTGCCTCTTGGTGTGTATTCAGTAGATTATTACTTAGTTACTGGTCTGTCTTGCATCAATTTAAGCATTATGCTTCACTTCAAAATGCAGAATGAGCCAATACAGTTTTGATGAACTAGGGGACTGCTTTGATTTGAAGGCTGGGGTAACTGACTTTGTTAGGACAGAATTCTCATATCATGTAATGGAAGTAAATTAGCATTTGAGAAGCAAGGATCTTTAGTCTTTCAGTGAGAGATAATCTTAATGTCAGGTATCTGTCACGATCCTAACTGGGCTGCCCAGAGAGGATGTGGGGTTCTGTGATTCCCTTGGGCTAAATTAAGGTGAAATGACAGTAAACAAGCAATTAAATGCTTTATTGACAGTGAACACTAACCTGAACTTGGAAAGCATAACGGTAGGCAACCCAAACCAGGAACGTGCAATGATAGGCGACGTGGGTTCTAATCCAAATACTTACAAAAGGAAAGGAAAAGGAAGAAAGAGGGGAGAGAGATCCCGCAGTGTCGATGGTAAACGCAGCAGTCCTCCGGCGGTGGGCGCGCTGCTCTTGGAGCGCAGAGCCTCTGGCTGTGCCGGCAGTGCCGGCACCGGGTGGGAGAGTCAGGTCTGGAGCAGCAGCAGTGTGGGGTCCTCCGGTGGTGGGGGTGCGCCTGTGGCTCCTCAGAGTTGTGTCTTTAATAGGCTAATCCCTGCCTCTAGTCTCGCCCCCCCCATGAGGCTTGTTCCAGAATGTTCTTCATCTTCTGCACAGGTGCCACTGGGGGGTGGGGGGCGGTCGTGAGGGGTCTTTCTGGGGTCTTTTGGGTGGCCCCTTCCTCCAATGAACGCTGCATGACCTTTGGCCATCAGAAGATGGAACTGTGAATCCTCTGACATGCCTCCTGGCTCTGTGCCAATCGGCTTCTCTCCTGTGGCTCAGTGGTGCTATGTAGACCCTAATTTATTGCTATGGAGACCTTAACTTGTCTCTGTGCAGACCTTAACTTGCCTCACCATGATGTTTGATACATTAACTCTTTCAGTCTCTCACAGTGTCCTCTGAACTTGAATGTTTTAGGGGTAGATTTCTGAAGGTGCCATCTGAGGCTTTCAGAAGCATGTGGGCACTTACCTCCTACTGCAGGCTCCAGGGAATTAAATTACAACGTTTCTCTGAAAATCTCTGTAAGTGCTGTGTGTACCCTTAGGACTCCAGCTATCTGGCTCCAGTGTCATTTGCTACATGTTCACATGTAAACAGTATGATTTATTAACTTAACAAAATATATTCTGCGAATATGTTTAGATTTTTCACTACTCATCCTCTGAATGCCTCTGCTGCCTTTCAGACGCAAATAACTTGCATTTTGTGATGACAGTATATAAATTCAGCCTGACAAAGAACGTCTAGCTTGAGCTTTTCTCACCCCCAGCTGTTCATGGCTCCTGCACAAGTCCATGCAGATTGGAGCTGGTTTCAGCTAGCACTTCTAGAAAACTCCAAGATGTTAAGATGTCCTTTCTGGGCTATGTGTGTGAACTATTAAGACTGCCAGTCTTTATAGCAGTCTTTAGTTCCAGCTCTCCTGATTTGGAAATCTGAATGTCATTGACTGAAGTCAGTGGAAAAGATGGTTTGAAGTCTGGACAACCAACCACTCAAATTATGCCTTTAGTGACAGCAGTGCTGCCTATGTCTTGGAAAGATTTTCTCTATCAAAAATTTTTCTCAAAGTGTTCTAGAAGCCACTTTAAAAAACTTGTTACTACTTGACACTATTTGATGTCAAGAGGAAATACTGAAGAGTTTTTCTGAGCTCATTCAGTGAGCTGATTATTAAAGTATATTGATTACTAGAAGTGCCTTTTAAGAGTGCTGGCATTGATAACTTAATCCCATAGAAAATTATCATGACAAATCAAGACTTAAAATAGCTTCAGCAGAAGGCAATAAATAGTGCTGGCTTTTAAAGTCTGTTGTTGATAAACTGTAGGGTTTCCTTTCTTCCTGATCATAATGGTTGCTGAAACCAAATTTGCTGTTAAGAACTCAAATAGTTCTACTTTCACGCTTACTGTATCTTTTCTTTTTCCTCCTTAGCAATGCAGAACCTTCTGAAAAAAGATTTCGCATGAATAGCTTTGTGGCAGATTTTGGAAGACCTCTGGAGTCGGACAGGGTCTTTTCTCATCAAATAGCTGAAGAATCCCGGTCACTTTTCCATTTCTGTATTAATGAGGTGGAACATTTGGACAAAGCAAAACAAAGTCAGAAAGGTCCAGGTCTGGAGAGTAATATCCACTTCCAGGAAGTTCCCAGGAGCAGTGGAATGTTTGAGGAGGACCTAAATTGTCTTACAAAATTTAACATTCCTAACTTTGTGAACACTGAGCAGAACTCTTCACTAGGTGAGGATGATCTCCTCATCTCAGAGCCACCAATCATTTTAGAAAGCAAATCAGTCATGCAATCTTCCCATCGGATCCTTGACTGAAAAGTCTTTTACTTTGAGGTAAACATTTCTGTTACTGTCCAGTCTGAAGCCTTTCTTGGCCATCTGGTATTTTGATAGAAGGTATTTCAGACCTGTGCTTTTTATCATAGGTAAGACTGGCTGTGCTGACAGAACTCAGTTTAGACAAGTAAAACACTGAATGCTTTATTCTGATGCCTTCTGTGGTCTAAACCTTTCACCCAGCGTTATTTTTGCTTCCTGGTATTTTTTTTTCTGTTTTTATTTTGTTCTTCGCTTATGTCCAGCTTCTGAAGGATACCATAATTGCAGGGGCTCTGAAGGCCTGTTCCAACCTGGTTCCAACCTGGCATTGCGAGGTGTATGAAAACTTGTTGGCCAAGAAAAGTGTAAACGTCAGATTAAGACTGAAGCAAGGAATACACAGGCAGCCCCTGGGGAGGTTCTGCAGCGTCTGCCATGCCCAGAAAGGACACCTGAAACTGAGCAGCACAATGGATACCTGCTTTGCATTAGCTTCAATTTCTGATTCCTAACTGCTTTTTGGTGCAGGTTAAACCCAACTTACAAAGCTTCCAGAGGGAATACCTTGCATATTAACTTGTTTGGTTACAGTGTTTACAAAATGCTACCACCACCTGCTGCTGAGTAAAAGCAAATTGGTCTTCAGTAGTACTTCAGAGTGACACTCTGATAGCTGCCCAGTGATGACCTGGAATTAGTATTCTATACACAAAGAGTATTTTTTTTTTTCTTTTCTTTTTAATTGCTGATGCAAACTTCCAGTTTGGTAAGTGCAGGATTCAGTAGCTAATCACAGGAAATCAGATAAAAACTATTCTTCTTTTGCCAATAGAGTTACTATATGCAAATGGTGGTGGTATGTTAAGCTGGTGTTATGCTTTGCTTATAGGCTGAACCTTCCCATGCTTTTTGGCTCTATAAATGGCCCTTTTTTGCCCAGTGGGCCAGTGAAGGGCTAGCAGGCTTTGAGTTGTTGAGAGGATGAGCTCCAAAAGCACAGCTGAGCTGCACTTGCTCCATCTTCTTCTTGTACTCAGTTGGTATGGTGTTGCAACCACAGCTGTTCTCCCAGGGAAAGGTTTGTTAAGGAATTGAATAGGTGTACTTTCAACCTTTAAGTTTATTTTTTAGAGAAAGAATAAGGTTCTGAACCTTAGCCAGTACTTAAATTACATTTCACCTTTCTTCAAAAGGTGGTAATGGCCAAATGGTTTTAGAGCAAGCACATAGGATGCAGAGGAACCGGGTTCAGATCCTTTGCTGGTTTGGAGTAAGAGTGCTCTGCAGGAAGTTCTTAAGTGAAATGAAACTAGTGCATTCAAGATACTGTGACTAACTGGGTTTTCTTGAAACTAGCGTGCTTCGTATACAACATGTTTGTGTCAGCGAAAATGTAGCAATGGCCTGCTGATACATTCTTCAGACACTTAAATGCTGATTAATTCATTCTTCCTTCACCTGACAAATAGAAAAAATAGTGAATAGGTTGTGCATTTAAAGAACACAAGAGTAGGGGAAACTTAGTTGTTTTTTATGTCTTGTGCCCTTATTACAAACCACTTATACCTAAATTTCCTGTTTTCAAATGTAATTCTTGCACTACTTCCTAGTGTTTGAAGTAATGGGATTACACTTAAAACAAAGCAGAGACTGTTTAAAACTAGCAGGTTATTGTTGAAAATGGTTCCCAAGAGAAGACTGAAGTGAACCCTGTTATAAATGAGCATAGCTGCACGGGTTGCAATGTCAGTCTCCAGTATGCTGGCCTCAGGTGCAGAACAGGCCTCCTTTTGCAGTAAGTACTGAACCACAAGTATGAAGGCTGTAGCTGTGGACTTTTCTTTTCCCTTCCCAAGTTAAGAAACTTGGGAAATCTGCCTTCAGAATGTGGCAACTGCTACCTGCTGAGGTACCTCAAACAACTGTTAGCTATCTGATGGTTAAGCTTTGTCTGAACTGGAGCTCCGTATTGTTCTTGCTTACAAGCTCTGGGACTTCTGCTAAATGTGGCTTTTACAGCCTATTTCTGGATGAGTGAGCTGCCCTCAGTGGTGTTTGATCTACTCTTTTTTTATTTTTTTGCTTGAAAACAGAAATGCTGCTTAAATGAGGGGGAAATCTGTGTAGGATCCATCTCCTCTGCAGTCAAGAAATGAAGCTTAGTTTTAAAGCATTTAAAAGTAGGTTAATAATGCAGGTCTGGTTTTAGAAAAAGAAAAGCTTGCTATTCCCTCTGGGCTAACCTAACCTTTTCTTCTGCTACCTTAAGTCTTTGTGGCTTGCTTTTGGGTGCATAACTGCTACTTTGGAGAGAAAGGAGGAGTATTCATGTGTGTGGATGCTGGTGACACTTAATGCCTAGATGAAAAGTATTTAATAAAATGATCAAGGGACAATACCAACTTAACTTACAACACATTAGAACTGTATTCTTAGTGTCCTTCTGATACCTGTATTAATCCTGTAAAGGTACTTAAGCATTTGGTTCATGTTTCTGTTCTTCCCTGATGGTTCTTCTACTTTTTCCATCTTATCTCCCCTCCCTTCTATCTTTAAATTCCTTCACACTGCTTTTTACAGAAAAAATAACCTGGCCGTCCCTGCTGCACAGCTCCCACATGACTTCAGAAGCACTGTGGCAGCAACGCAGTCTGATTCAGATTTTTGCTCTGCCTCTGCATTAGAGCAAAGGCAGAAACTTTCTACAGTCTTCAAAAGCAGTTATTTTAAAGCTGTTCTTTCTTTTTCCTTTCTAACTAACAGACATGACATTTTGCCTCAGGGAAAAGGGGACTGATGTAATGACCAACTTTGTATAACATGTTTAAAAAAAAAAATCACCTTTTCCCAGAAAACCAACCTTAGTTGGTTTACTAGAAGTGAATAGAAAGTGTTTTGACCAGAGTAATCCTTCAAAAGGAGTACTCGGAATTTAATGGTGTTTGAAAATAGAATTATTGCAAGTTTTCTTACTGCTTGGGCTGGCTGTTTCAGAGTCTTTTCTCAAAACTCACTATAAATGCATCACCTGTGGTAGACAGCTTCATGGAGAGTTCCCCCAAGATAATTACATATGTTTGTTTGCATAAACATGTGTTGTATTCTGTAAGAGCTTACTAAATCAATTTATATATTCCAGTTTTCAGAGGTGAATGTTTGTGCAATGTTCTTCTGTGTAAACAAGTTTTAGTTGTGTAGCTTTCTTTTTTTTAAAAAAAAAAAACAAACCAACATACAATGTAAAATCAGAAAATGTCTGCTCAGAGAGAAAAGGGAAAGGTAAAACAATGAACTTCTCTACTAAAATCCAGTGATACACAGTCTCTGAGGCTAAAAGGTGGAGTAAATGATGTGTATTTGTCATGCAATTTAGTATTTATGCACCTGAGCTGTAGATCTTGGAATACTTTAACGTTGACATTTTTTTGCCACTCTGTGATTAAAAGAACCCCACCAAACCCTTCACAAGCCACTGGCAAAGGAAGAATTCAAGTCTGCTTCCATTCTGCCCTATGCTCCTGGCAGTGAAAGATGACAAAGCTAAATAAATCAACTGGAGATACTCTGCAGAGCTGGACTGAACTTACTGGGTAGCCTCAGGTATCGCAGGTAGTAAGGACAGTACAGAGCCAGACAACCACACGTTCTCCAACAAGAGCAAGAGTTGGAGGCCTGTGCTGTCTTAGTTTTGGACATGAGGTATGGAGTTAGCTGTATGAAAGGCTAAACATTACCATTCAAAGTTATCAGAGTCAGGGCTGCACTTGATCCATGGCCGTGCTTCCCTGCAGAACTGGATTTGCACAGCTAAATTTAGTATACAGATCTGTTTTCCAGAGTAGGTTAAATACTAGATGTAGTGGCAGACTTCAAAATGTATTATGTACTATCAGATAAAGTCTTCATCCATGATAACCTATTCGTTACACAAACAATTTTGACATGTATTTCAGAGAACTTGAACTAGAACACATTGCTTATGTCTCTGCCACAAGTGCCGTGATGAGATTTGATACTTTTCTGCACACCGTTTTCCTCTCTTGAAGCAAATGTCTTTGCTGTAATCTAGATCACTGAGTCACCCAGCCAGCTGCTCACTTGATCTCCTAAAAGCTTCAAACATGACAATTCAAATTATTATACTCCAGCTGCTTTGCTGTAAACAAATGAATTCCAGCTAAACATAAGGCAATGATTCAAAGAAATTATGTTGCAGATTTTTTTAATCCATCCATTATAACAGCTCCCAGAAATGCATGATGAAATGGTATGGCATAAGAAGAGGAAAAAAGATACACGAGGAGTATATAATTCTGTTACTCTCTGAAAGATCCCACTGAAATCCTCAGTGGAATACAGTAAAAGCTAATGACCTGTTTTGTCACCCTTTGCTCTGTTTCAGGGTATTTTCCCCCTTCTGTACAGTTAAGACTGCTGGAGAGTCAAGAACTATAACTTTAGCAGAGAAGTTAAAACTTGAACCTTAGTTCTCCAGAAAGAACATCATTCCTACAGCCATTCAGGACCAGAGACAGTCTGTTACTGTGCAGAGTAAAAACAGAAGACCACAACTGCATCAATACATGTGAGAACACAGTATAAACCATGTTATAGCTTACAGTAATGGTAAATAATACTGTCCCTGCTCAGTAAAAAATAAGACTCAGAGGGAGAATTTGAATTAAATTTAAAATTAAACTATGTAAGATACCAGCAAATGCTGAGAACAGAATATAAGAATTTTAAAAGGTGTCTGAATGAACTGCATGAACGCTAAGGCAACCCCCCTCTTGATGCCCTAAGGATTGGATGTTTGAGGGAGACAGTTTCCAGCAAGCAGAAATGTTTCCCCTAGGTCTTCCTGTCCTAGGCAGTGCCCTGGCACACCTACACCCAGGGCCCCGCCTCTCCGGCAACACAAAGGTTGCTGTAATGTAAAAAAAATCCCATTTAAGTCACACACTTTAATACCGCATTACATGTATAACAAATTGTACAGGAAATAAATGGTAAATTGGAATTATTCAATTTTATCCTTTTCATTTGCAAAACAGTCCCAAATCAAGAAAATACAGCATATTTACACATAGCTGATACAATAATGCTTTGTATATAAAGTATTTACACATTTTATGAATACAGACTAATACTTCATTACTGGGGG